ATCACTACAAATACCTGGGCATCCTTCAAGCTGACAACATCAAGCACACTGAAGTCAAGAAAGAGTTTAGTAGTGAATACATCATGAGAGTGAAGAAGATCTTAAAGTCTAACTCAGTGGAGAAAATACCATCAAGGCAATTCACACCTGGGCAATTCCAGTCATTAAGTACACAGCTGGAATAGTGGACTGGACTCAAGCAGAACTTGAAGCCCTGGATAGGAAGACCAGAAAAATAATGATAATGAATCATGCCCTTCATCCACGCAGCAACATTGACAGACTTTACTTACCAAGGAACATAGATGGGGGTGGAATGTTATGAGTACACCAGACAGTTGAAGAAGAAAAAAGGGCAGTCCAATTCCAAAACATCTGGAGCACCACTCAAACACCATCAGCATTGACAAAATCATCAGTCAATTGGAAAAGGCAGCTTTACTCAGAACAGATTACATCCTGTGACAATACCTTTAATATTATTAAACAACAACATCTGCCTATCCCAGGCCCTTGGGAAGAAGTCGATAGGTGGACAAAAATGCCAAATTTAGTTTAAACATCTGGGTGATTGTGTAACCAACCATAACGTAGAAAAGTTTTATAATCAGACCTGAATGATTCAAAGTCCTTAACATTTGAGCTGTCCCTGTTTATATGCTACACAGCAGGTATTGCTGACTAGACACAAGCAAAACTAGATTCTTTAGGTCACAAGACTCCAAAACCTATGAAAATACATCATGCAGTATGCCCCCAAACTGACATGGATTATTTGTGTTTAACATGTAAAATTGGTGACCCTGATTTCCTACAAATGAAGCTGACATTGGAGGATGGAATCAGAGGCTTACATAATTACATAAAAGCGGGCAAAAAGAAAATGCTAATAAATGTCTTCAAGGAAGACATTTTTAAGGTGATAGAATCAAAGGTGGCATACAAAAGTGAATGAAAAATTCAAGAGATCAGCCTCTAAATAGCCAACACTTTGAAGGTATTAAAGACAAGGCAAACATTAAACTTGGCAACGATTTCAGATCCCAGACAGGTGGAAGAGCCGCAGACAAATGGCAGTTGAGTCCGCAGAAGGAACAGGGGCCTGGCAAATGTCTCAGAAGGGACCCTCCCTAGTTTCTTGGGCTGTAAAGGCGAGGGGGGAGAGATGTACTTTCAGACTGGCAAGATTCTGTTAATGTAACCTTCCAATAAAGTAGAGCTGGTACTTTTGGGTGTGCTTCTTGTCTGGACTACCTCACAAGGCTGACACACGCATAATATACTAAACCATATCCCATCCATGTGATAACTCTGAAAATTGAACAAAATGGGACCATCGGTGGTGTGATGGGAGAAGCCAACGAAAAGGGGTGAATACAGCAAGAGGCTGGGCTGCAGAGAAAAACATTCTAGGGAAAAAAACTATCCAATGGAAAGGGCAGTTTGGCAACGGATCCATTCTAAGGCTCCTCCCTCCTCTCTGTCACATGACCCAGAGCGGAGCATCTGCGTCTGTGCTTCTCAGTGCACACAAACACATAGACACAGCATGAGGAGAGAACAGAGACACACAACCAGAGGTGGAACACATTGCTTCACGAAGGAAGTGCACATCCTATAGCCAGTGCTGGTAAACGGGTTGGAAAGAATTCCAGAAGCTGTGTTCTGTGTGCTGTTACCTTGTTTACATCTCTGCTTGGATCATCCATTGACTATATTCCAGGCAATGCTGTTGTTTTCCTCTATTAGTTCCATCCAACAGTCTTCACAGAGGAGATGGAAAATGTGTTCTGAACTCCCAGGCCCCATGCAACCATATTGCAGAAACGTAAGGAGATTTGTTTTTACATATCCCTTCCTTGAGCATAGTTAAGCAATGAAGGACTTCTGAACAAAAGTTGCCAGAATCCTTATTCATTGTTTGGTGCTGATGGGAACTGTAGTCCAAATCATCCATCACCCTGTTGCCTCATCCCTGTTCTCCAGCAAGTGAACTTGGTTAAAAAAGAAATATCTTCATTGTTTTATCATTTATTACTTCCAGGCCTGCTTGATTTATAGACCACTTCTTTAAATGCTAGAGTGATCGTCCATCTGCTTCTTTTATGAAACCAGCCATCTATTTATTTGCATTCAACATAGGAATGTATATTGTTTTTGAAATGTTATTGTGTTAATAAATCATTACAGTTTCCCCCTGGGATTTTTTTTTTTGATTGAAAAGCTAAGCACAAACAGTATATTGCAATAATTAAAATGAAATTAAAACATGATCAATATCAGTTGTTCATTTATTTTAACCATATGTTGTAATAAACTCAATGTTTTTTTTCTTCTAGAATGTATGAATTGCACGAAGCTCACAGACATGACAGAAAGGCTGAATATCTTGGAAGCCAAAGTAAGTTAATTTTTCAGGAAACCATTTGGATGGTTAAGAATTTTCTCTGCTTTTGACCTTCATCTACCTTGCTTCATTGCTCTCAGCTGTCCTAAAATATCCTGTCCCATATTTCTGGAGCATCTCCCAGAGCTTCATTTAAAAGACTTCAGCCATTCTCCTTTAATGTATGACAAGAAGTATCATCCAGAATGTATGAGTGGAAGTATCTTCCAGAACTATCTTCCAGAAGTATCTTCCAGAATCATAGAGTTGGACAAGGTCTCAGAAGTCACCTAGTTCAGCCTCCTGCTCAGTGCAGGATCTGAGAAAGCATTTTAAACAGATGGCTATTCAGCCTCTGTGAAGATGACCACTGAGGGGAAGGAATATGCCACTTTATCATTGGAGGTGTTAATTGAACAGCATTGACTCTTCCAGACCTCTTGACCTACTGACCCCAAGAGGGCAGTAGGGTATAGATAGCATTAAGGATTGACTCTGTGTCCCCTTTTTATCTATCAGGTTCCTAATCTGAGGTCACTTCCTTTTGCCTTTCTTCCAAAGTACGCATGCACAGAGCACTTGCTCTTTGATTCTCCTCCTGTAGGATATAGCTAGCTGGGGGTGCTAGCTTTATCTATTCCTATAATCTATTTCCTATAAATATGTCTCTTTTCTGTTATAGTTATATCCTGCTGCACTAATAATTGCTCAGGTTAGATTTCTACTCTCAGGAACGTTCACACACACACATAGAGTGTTTTAATCTCCAACATTCATGAGGCAACCTCTTCTATTGTTTGAAGCTCTTACCATCAGGAAATTCCTCCTAATATCTAAATCTACTCCCATGAAGTTTCAATCCATCGATTCTGGGCCTGTATCATGTATCATCAGCTTTCTTTGTTTCCTCAAAAACATAACACTACGTGTTATCAAGGTTACTGTGGGGTGGGCAGAAGGAAATCAGGATTTATTTGTACAACGGGCTAGGGATCCTTTTCACAGAGGGGGAGATGAATATAAATCAGCCCTAGATTTTAGTGGAGGTGGGAGGATAACATCTCTGCTGCCTCTCCTTCAAGGAAATAAAGAGAATGCAAAAAGTCCAGAAGCAACATTTTCTTCACATCGGCCACTAACTAAAAATAACCCAAGTCAAAGAAATGAGAAACAGGCCTTATCAAGTTGACAAGGAATCCCATAAATCTCAGTCCCAAGTTTGTTGGCATCTTGCTCAGGTACACTGGGGAGGCATCTGGGATTACAGTCCATTCCTATGAACTCAGCCACAATCAATTTGCTCTGAGAAATGGAGCTTCTTTCTTTGTTCCTCCTCTTATCATTATAGTGTCCAGATGCTGCTGGGTTGACTCTTCCCACCCAAACATGGAAGGGTTTTATCTTGGGTTGACTAATACAGCCCTCAAGCTATTCCCTCCCTCATGCTCACTCTTGTCCTCGCTGCAGCTTTTTGCTGGAGCTCTTTAGGACCTCAAGGTTTCCCTACCTGATACGTTCCCTTTGGACTGTTTGGGGCACCGTAAGTGGTGTTAGAGGCTTGGCTTTTCCTGCTGCACTACATTTTCCATCAGACCTAGCTGCTAGAGCCAGTGGTTAACTGGCCGAGGACGGGGATGGTTGAGAATGTTCTTTTATGTGAGATTTCCCAGACCAGTGCGGTTGAGCTGGTCCCACCACATAACTTAAGGACCATCCCAAGTGAGAACTCGCCAGAAGAGATAAAGCTGTTTCTGCTTTAGCCCAGAAGACTTGGTCTTTCAAAGTTCAGCTTCAGGCAAATGGAGCTTAGGAAGGATATACTATTGCCTAGACTTTTAAGATCTCCAACCCTGACTTGTGTAGTCTTGCTTTGATACCTGTACAACAGGTAGCAGTTTGTGGTGTACGAAGCTAAAGGTCAGACATCAGATACAGTCCGTTGCACAAATAGCAAGAGATCAGCAGCTGCTCACGGTGCAAGGCAAATCGGGGGTAATAGCAAAGGTTGCAAAGCCATTCTGTAAAGTTGGGATTGGAAGCCTGAAGAGCAGGAACAGCTCTACGAGAGGACACGATGGCAATGTTCCTTCAGAACTGGTCTTAAACAGAGCAGCTGGCAAGGTCAGTTATACCCAATTTAAAAGGATTTTTAAGATTTAGTCCCTTTTCTTTGCCCTGTATATTAAATAGTTGATTTGTTTCTGACTGTTTGTGACAGGATGACAGGACCCTTTGCTAAGACTGTCAGTAACTGCTGCTTTAAATTATAAACTCGTGCTTGTGACATCAGTGATGTCTAGCCATGATGTCTTCTAGTGGCCTCTTTTTTTATTGCCTTTGATTTTTCCAATCATCAGGGTCTTCGCCAGTGACTCTTGCCTTTGCACTCTATGTTCAAAAAAATTCAAGCTTTAGTTTCATTATTAGTGCTTCCAGGGAGCTGTTTTTGCCCTGCATACTTCTTCCTCTTCCTCAAATCTGCCTCCTTGCCCTTTCTTCTGTCTCTGTTGTTTTTGGGTTATGTGGATCTTCCTTTCCAAGGCCACCAGCATCTGACCAACCACGAAGCCCTGCACGTACGTGGCTGCTTATAGTGCACATACGCTATTTAAAATTATACTTAGATATTAGATTTCACAATGTATAATCCATCCAGGGCCATATACATTTGCCAAGTTCTCTGGAGCCCAGTCTTTTATTGTCCTATCTGCCCACATTTTTTAGTAAAATCCATTGGTGGATTATGGATAGTCTGTTAGAAATCTAAGTTTTGGATCACTCCCTGAAAAGTTGCAGTTATCTGATCTGAGCTGATATCATGTATCCCAGTGGAGGGCATAGGCTGTGGTGTCCTGAATGTGAGGAAATAAGATCACACAAATGCTAGATGTGATTGATTCCGTGTGTGATTGCTAAAGGACCACATAGTTTTTGCATGATCACTCTTTCTGGTAACACAATCCTCTCCTTCTGCCAGGCTCCAAATTATAACTTTTCCCTATATCATTAAAAGGCTTGTGCTTATTTATTTAAAACATAATAGAGTATTTTGTTCCACCATTTAATTTAAACACATTTTTCTTAATAACTCTGCACAGCTATATGAGATGAAAGGCAGTCCTATCCACATCTACTCAGAAGTAAGTCCCAATGACTTAAATCATGCTTACTCATAGGTAAATCTGCCTGCAGTTACAGATATAATTTAATAAAGGTCAGAAACTTCTAAACAAGGAGGGTAAGTTATGTATAAAACATTTGCAGCTGCCTTATGGCCATTGGTTCATCTAACTTGGTCTTGTCTTCTCTGCTTGTAAAGGTGGTTCCTGTTACAGCTGCTCGAGGTTATAGAATCTAGAATTCCAGAAAAAGGCATAGCAAAGGCAACCAAAGGTTATTAGCTAAGATACTGTTTCTGGGAATTAGAACAGAAAACCTGTATCAGGATCTATACTGACCTGTCCTGGGATGGCAAGTCCTGCCCATAATTCCAAGAGGGAAACTCAGAGGAGAATAATTAATAGAATCCTAGGGTTGGAAGGTCTTCTAGAAGATCTTGGAGCTCTAGAGCAACCCCCTGCCTAGTGCAGAGAAATGGCTGTCCAATCTTTTTTTGCAAATGTCCAGTGATGGAGCACCCATGACTTCAGGAGGCAGGCTGTCCCACTGCTTAACAGCTCACACAGCCAGGAAACTCCTTTTATTTCAAGTTTGTATCTCTCTCTGTAGCACTTCCAACCATTGGTTCTTGTCTTACCCTCAGGTACTATGGAAGATAAATCCACACCATTTGCTCTGTATGAAATTGGAAGTATTAGAAGACTGCTATCATGTTTTCCCTTAGCCTTCTCTTCTTTAGGCTAAATGTATCGAGTTCCTTTAACTGCTGTTGGTAGGATTTAGCCTCCAAGCCTCTTACCATCTTTGTTGTTCTTCTCTGTATTCTTTCCAGTACCTCAGCATCTTGCCATCTTCCCCAACCAGCAGGCCAACTTTTCCTCTTGCATGTACTCAAAGAACCCTTTTCTGTTATTTTTCTTATTCTCTAGTTCCTTCCTCCATCTTCGGTGAAGTTGTCTACAAGGCATGTCAAGAACCATTTGCTGCAGAGTATGATTCCCAGTTGATGTCAGAGTAATTGGAATCCTCCGTTTTCACAGTGGTGTGTTTCCTGGGTATCTTGGCCATCTGGTCTGCAAAAATTTCACCTATATCTTCTGCTTGGTTAAGTGGCCTGTAGTGTATGCCCACAACAGTGTCTTTTTTGTTTTTTCCTGTCTTAATATTTACCCAGGCACTTTCAGCAGGGTTTTCCTTGTTGTTACTGTTATTAATCAAATTTATTTGCTGCTAGACTCCCAGTGACCCATGAATTTCTGTATAGATGTACCATTCTTTACGTATAATGAGACTCCACCTCACCTGTTTTTGGATCTGTTTCTTCTGAACAAATTGCATCCTTCCAGTACAGTATTCCAGGCATGAGATCCATTCCAGCCATTTTCAGTAATATTAAAATATCATATTTGCCCTCCTGTACTAAGACTGTTTTGCTTGTTTGCTCCCCATACTCTGCACATTGGTGTACAGGCATCTGAGCCCTTTAGTAATGCTTTTTTTAAAATTTCCCTGCTGCAACAACTGGTGTATTGATACTCTTTACTTCTTACTACTTCCTTTCTTGTTGTAAAGTATACTGCCTTTAGTCTTCTGTTTTGGGTGTGGTTCTAGGTAATAGTTTCCCTTGCACTCCAGATGGCTTTAACCAGATGTTTTCCAAAGACATCCTTCTCAGTTTTTGTGTGGTGCAGCCCATCTGTCCCCAGAAGCCCTTCCTGTAGGTACTAAAGACTGATCCAGGAATCCAAAATTTTCTCGAGGACACCATCCCTTGAGTCAATGGTTCAGAATCCTCCATTCCTTCCTTGGGCTGTGACCATCAGCTGGAAGTAGGGAGGCCATCCTGCTCTTCATAGTCTCAACGTTCCTTCCAAGCTCTTTCTGGCAGTGTCTTTTGTTCCAATGTGAAACAGAAGAAAGGGATAATAGTCAATAACTCAGTCTCTCTGACCCATCTTGGAACTTTGCAATAGGAGACAACACACTTTCCTTGATATCATGTCTGGTCTGCAGATTGCCAGCTCTGTTCCTCTGAGCAGTGAGTCACCCATCACCACCACATGCCTTTTTCTCTTTGGAGAAGTCATTGGATTCCTTGTCTCCATAGCAGTCTGACTTCTCTCCTTCCTGTTCCTGTAACACTGGGTGAAAACCTTCTCTAGAAGTAAGTAAGTCTTCCTCCAGATGGAGTGCCTGAAACTGAGTGTGCAGCTTCACTGACAGGAACTGTCTTCTGGTTTTCTTGGACTTCCAAATTACATGCTGCCAGCCTTCATCTTCTGAGGCTCCCATTTTCTCTGTAGTAATCTTCTCCTTCCTGGGTTATTTTTGAGACATCCTTCTGCCCTGTCCAGAAACTCCCCATCTTGCTTGTTAAGTCTCAGTGTGGCAAGATGGGTCTCCAGCCCCTCCACTTTCTCCTCCAGCAATACAATGAGGATAGTTGGAGTCCTCCTCAGGCAGGTACACAAACATGGTGCATACCTTGCAGGTCATCACAGTACTTACCTCCTTGTCCATATCTATGTGACTCTTGAAGATTGTGTAGATCCACATGGGTCCTTTCTTTGTACCCTCCCTTGTCTAAACTCTCCTGGAAAGATAAAAATAAAACAAGTGACTTATATGCTGAAAAAGGGGAAAAGGAGAAAAGAAATAGAAAAAGGAGGGAGGGAAGATAATACATTTAGGGTTTTGCACACTATTAGGCACACGGGCTGCTATCTTGAGCCAATGAGACAAAGTCCCACTTCTCTGATGCTTGTGGTGACCTTCTGCTAACTCCCCAGAATGCTCCAGGCCTATGCAAATTCTCTGACTAAGCCTCAATGCATTAGGCTGAATTCTCTGATTAAGCCTCAATGAATTAGTGGAGAACTTTGGATATCTTGTGAGAAGACAAGACCCTATTCTCATCCTTGAACTTACTTTCATCAGTATCTCCATCTCCCCAACTTCACAAAACTGATTATAACTGAGATCCCCAGTTCAGGGTATGTCCATGGATATCTCCTGTGGTGCTTGCCAGGCTCCACAATCTTTCAAATTGTTTACATTAAAAAAATCTTATAATTAAAAAAGAAGCTGGGAAAGGCCAGCCTCCAGCATCATCCAAAAATACTGGAGGTCCCATAAACAAGTTTTCTTAGAACAAAAAATAAGGGGGAACTGCAGATTATTACTTCATTTGGAAGTGGCCTTGCCTGCGTAGAAAAAAGAGAAAAATAAAGCTCAGGTAGTGAAGAATATCCTGCAGGATAGAGTTGTAGAAGGGGTAGCAGGTAGCCTCTGGTAAATCTGTACTAACTAGTAGGCTGTGCTGTACTATTCCATCCATTTTATATACCACCCACAATATGTTGTCAAAATGCACATGTCCTCAAAGTTCTAAATGTGCCCAGCAATCCAAAAGAGTTGGATTATAAAATTAAGTAAGGACTCCTTGAAAGCAATTATCAGCTGTTTTATGGAGAGATCTTATCTGCATCGGTGTCTTGTAGATGTAACATGCATCATGATATCATCACATAAATGATGTGAGTTATATAATGTGCATTAGTCATGACACAGTACATAATTTGTATGGTGGAGTCAAGGCATGTGAGACATCACTTTCCCCCTTGTAGACACCTGTGCTTATCAGCTTATAGCGGTTCTTCTCTTGGCTCCTGTTCTCTGCTGAGACAACATTAATCAGGCCAGCTCCAGTCCTCAAGGAGCTGTTCATGGTCCTGATGTCCATTTAAATACCATGTCCCGCTCAAAAGAAGTTGGTATGATTGTCTCCACATCACTTTCATGTATATAATTTGTTCTGACTATTATGCTTTCCATCCAGATCCTTTTGCTTGAGGCTGCAGAGCGAGCTTCACCTTCAGACAATGATCTTCCGATGACAAGAACTACAGCCACCTGGTATGATGATTTGGTGCCTGATGCTATTCCGCTAGCTAATCCAGGAACAGCTCTGAGGAAACCAATGGGACCTGTTGGTGAGCAGATTGCCTCGTGTCCTCTTCCTGGGCATCTGATTTTAGTAAAAATGGGAAATGCCCTGTATTTCTTCATAAGTCAATTCTGTCCTTTTTTCTGCATTAAACGTAAGACCCATTATTTCAACCAAATAACACTAAGTCTGGGCTCAGCCAAGACATTTAATCATTAGTTATAACATTATCATTTGCCATACAAGTCTCTTATTTATTTAAGTAAGTAACCAACCAACCAACCATTTGGGAAAAAGCAACCTCTAGACATTTTCCAAGAAAAATGGAAAGCCTGTTGGATATCTATAAAGAGAGAAGTCTTCACCTATGCAGTTGGCTCTGAGAATAAGTTGTTCCCAATATTCCCTGATCTAAAATGGATAGAGATGCGAGTTTCCACAACTCCAGCCATGCTGCTCCTTTTGGACTTGGGTGTGACGTCATGAGCATGTTTAAAAGAGGTGCGTCTTGTCTCATGACAGTGTGTGGCTGCTTTCATCCAACTGACCATTTTACTCCCTCTGTGGATGCTACTGGACCCCTTCTGCCAGCTTCCCTTGGTTGAGATAGCAGTGGATAGGTTGCAAGGCTATGACTTCATAACTTCCCTGCCCTTGTGTATATATCACACACACACACACACACACAGAATGAAGGATAAGCCTAGGAAAAGAGTGAGCAAAGGCTGAGGAAGTCTTTCTTTTAAGCCTTCCTTCTGCCAGTAGTAATGATGTTAGCAAGTTAGTGGTACTTTCTCATGATATATGCAACAGCATTTGCTGTCTCTTCCCACCTCTGGCAGATGCCCATGGTGAGGTGGGCTAGGAAGAAGAAGATGGTCTGGGTGACAGGGAAGGGGTGGCAACAGGGAAGAGAAGGGATAAAATTGGTTTGGTGAGAAATGCTCCTGGGGAAGGCAGTGCAGAAAGAAAGGAGTAAAAGAAAAGGAGTTCTCTGGGAAAGAGGATTCAAGGATGGTTAAGGTGGCTACATGGGGAAAGAAGACAGGAGAAGTGGGTTTACAGGAGGAAGGGAACTGAGGGTACGGGCTACAGGTGAAAAGTGAATGAGAAGGTGGAAAGTTTAATTTCCTCACTGCAAATTATATTACTTGTTCAAAGTATTATAATTGTTTAGCCTGCAAATCTTATTTTTAAATACACCCTTATTTTTAATATAGCAAAGCATTAATTAATGGCCCATAGGCATTCCTTTATGGTAGTTTTGTTATGCCTGAGATCACCGACCATTGTTGTGTATAACAAATATTCATTGTATCAGTGGAGAAACAGACTGCGTGGGACTTAGTGGCCTTACTTGTTCCTCACAGAATGAATGTAGTTCAGAACAGGCATCAATTAATTCATCTCATATCCTAACTTCCTAACAATAATCAAGTCAGCTATGCTTTTTCCAATGCATTTGAAGGACATTGGGTTGAGAAATACTTACGTACCCAATGTACTTAACTTGGTTACTGAATTAACCCCTTTTATGGGTTCTCACTGTACATTGAACCATAAACTGGCTGGGTTAACACAACATAATGAGCCTCCCCCCCCCCCCACTAAACCAAACCCTTAAAAATCACACTAGTCAAACTTACTTGCTATGCACATGAGCCAGTAGGGTTTTGACTAGCTTGGTTAAGCATGTCTTGTACACATAGCTACTGGCAAGATCTGATTTACTTTTTGCTGTGGGAATCACAGAATGTAAGAGTTGGAAGGGGCTTTGGGGGTCATCTAATCCAACCCTGTCCAGTGCAGGAACCAGTACCCCTGTCTGTCCAGTACTATAGTACCCCTGACAGATAGCCACCCAGGTTCTGTTCAAGCACCTCTACTGAAGGAAGAAGAACTACCATCTCCTGATGGTTGTTCCATTGTTGAACAGCCCTTACCTTTAGGATTTTTTCCCAATGTCCAACCAACATGTACTTTTTCATAATTTAAACCCATTATTTCCTGTCTTCTGGGAGAACTCTGAAAAGGTCTCTCCCATCTTCTGCATGTCAGCCCTTCAGATACTTGAAGACAGCCATCATGTCTTCCTGCAGTCTTTTCTTCTCCATGCCAAACATACCCAGTACCACCATTCCTTCAAGGTTTTCCTTTCATTCTCATATTATCTCCCAGTCTCAAATATGCATTGGCCCTACTGTGATTACTTGAGGGTGGTGAGAGAAAGAGGTTTGCCTTGATCTGGGTCATATTAAAAATAGTCCCAGGCAGATCTCCTCCTGAATATGTAAAATATTTGTTTTGTGATAGAAATTTCAAGGAGACCCTGCTGCAGCCAAATTTTTGGCAGTGCTTATTAATTAAGAACACAGCTTGTGAATTAATTAGGGAGGTGTGAATTATTATTCTTGATATGTTATGAGCAGTTTTCTATTGATGAATATTTTATAGTTAGACTGCTTAATTAGGCAAGTCATATTTATATTTTGCTTTGTTTCTCATTCAAGTTTTTTGACTGTAATAAAGATACATACACACAAATAACTAGAATGTTTGTAAACATGAAAAATATACTTTACAGACCCCTTTTGTTTGTCCTTGGCATAGTTGCTCTCCCTTTGAGCCAAAATGTTTATGCTCATGTATTTTAGGGCTCCCAGGACCAGCTGGGAAACCAGGACTGCAAGGGCCAAAAGGGGAAAAGGGAGAGATTGGTGAAAGAGGACCAGCTGGACCACCAGGTGAGTGGAGTGGGAAGAGAATCAGCTACACTTATGGGGGACCATATGGAGCCCTAGTGGGCAGATTCCATGGAGTTGGGCTACATGTTATGTGGCAGTCTGGAGCTTCCAGATGAACCATACTTCCATAATCCCCACCAGCACAATGATTTAGCTTACAGGCAGGGGATGATGGGACTTGGAGCTCAGCACACACACACACACACAAATCTTCAGTCTTGATGGCTGAATTGAGATTTCTTCTTGGATATCGCCTTCCTAATCCAACATGCTTAACTGTTATTAAAGCATGTTGTTTCCAAAACTTAAAAATAGGTCTCTGTAGTTTATGCCATTTAAGAACTGTTGCATGATTTGTCATAGGCCCTCATTTTATTAATGAACATAGCATGTGTCATCAAAGACAACAATTTCTCATCAGTAGAAGCATGCTTTAATTCTTAGGACAGTTTTGCACTTAAAATCTGCACAGCCCTCCATAAATCTGACAGAATTGGGGGAAAAAAGATGTTAGCCATTTCCAGCATTACTTGAAAACATATTTCTAACCTATTGGAATGTAAGACTAATTCTAGTACATATGAAAGTTGCCCTTGGTTTTTGGACTATGATGACTGGCTGGGGATGGTGGGAGTTGTATCTGGAGAACACTAGGTTGTAGAAAAATGGTCCCATGTAGATAAGCATTCTAACTCATCAACAGACTTGTTCCCAGATATGTGACAGTATATAAGCATACCTGGAATTTGGACAGAAAATATTTCCCCAGACCTGAGAGGTGTTGTATGGCAGTCTCCTCCATCCTTGCAGAAGGCTACCAATGCTTCTAGGTCCTAGCTGATCTGGAGGTATTATCTGAACAGTTCGGTTCAGTTATAAGAACCAGTTGTTACACTTTTTTCTAGGATGGAGTGCCTCTCTTCTTGGCCTTTGTTGGCACGCAGTGGGCAGTTCACTTAGAAGGGTGAAGTGGCAGTAGGACAGTCTCACCAAAGGCTTTTGACCATATCAGCTCAGAAGCACCAGGGTGTAAGCATGAAACAGGATATGCCTCTACCACCTGGAGAGCTAAGCAGGAGAAGTGTAATGAGCTGTGAGAGTAACCCTGAGGAACAAGAGGAAGAGCCACAACCAAGACAATGGTCAGATAAGAGAAATCTGAGTCCAAAGCAGAAATGTAATTTGAGAAAAGGTCTCAGAGTTGACCCTCCCCTAGTTCTCATATAGATAAAGGCAGGGAGGGGGGAGGTGCTTTCAGACTTACAAGATTGATGTCAGCCCTTCGAGGTAGACCAGACTTGGAAACCAAAGTTAGGAATATTAAAACTACTTTTATTATAGGGTTACAGTAACAGAACCTTGCAAGTCTGAATGTGCCTCCCCTCTCCCTGCCATTATCTACAAGAGAACTAGGGAGGGTCAAGTCTGAGACATTTTCTCAAATTACACTTCTGCTTTGGACTCAGATTTTTTTTAATCTGACCATTGTTTGGTTGTGGCTCTTCCTCTTGTTCCTTAAGGTTATTCCCACAGCCCATTACAAGAAGGGATGACTTCCCACTGCAGGAATATGCCTTTAAAAATATTGACCCTACCCCTTACGAGTTCTGGATCCAATTGTCGCTTAATTTAATCATACCCTTGTGGCCAATGCTGGTGGTCAACAATGGAGGAGCCTTTCCTAAGGCACCAAGGCTCCCAAGTTGGGTCATTGATGGCGCTATTGTTCTTCTTTAACATGTGATGATGACAGAAGTGGCATAAATTACTCAGGTGTTTCCAGCACATTCAGGAGCATCCTGGCCAAAACTAGAGATAGTTGCATTGCGCAGAATTCTGGATTTTAGGGAAAAGAAAACAGAAAACGCTATTTAGGGGTAAAGATGCTCCTTGTTTGTCCAGCAACCTTCTTTTGTTGGGACATGCTGGGTCTTTGCAGTCCCCTGGATGACAAATCATTGTATTATAGTTCTTTGCAATCAGAAATCTTCTATGCTAGACTGAGGATGCCCCCACCCCTTGGGCCAGCCATTCAATTTTGCTGGAAAGGAATAAGAGGGCATCCTCTTCAAGTTGAAGCTCACTTGATCAGCCCAATCTCCCCAAGCTAGTGTATATTCCTGTACCCTTTGGACCTATTTTTTTTACAGGCTGGCTTGTTCCTTAGTTCTTACTTGCTTTGTAGCTCAACTGGATGCAATACTCTTTTGCTTTGGCTTCCTACTCACAGCCAGGACTATCTACACAAATGCCTAGAATTGGCATGCAAAATGTTTATGCTTGATATTCCAATGTTGGGAGGAAGTGGTTTGATGGTGGGGGGAATAATGAAACATTCTTGGCCATGCCTTAGCAGTGATAGAAAGCTGTCCTTCCTTTATCAGTGTTCCACATATTTCAAGCTAGAATTTTTGCATTAAGGAATAGGCTCTGTGACAGATGCCTTAAGGCTCAGCTTAAGCCTCAACAAAACCAGTTTGCTTCCAGTGCTGTGAGAAATCCTTACTCTTTCTTTGCTCTGAATTCTAGGACAACTTGGACCTCCAGGACCTAGAGGATATCCTGGTGAGACAGGGATTCCTGGCCCACCAGGGCCACCAGGACCTCCTGCATCTCCAGATCTCCCACTAACATTTCAACAAGGAGTTCTTTACTCACTCCAGCCCAGTGCTGAAAAAGAAAGTAGGTCTACACATGGTTTGAAAAAGAAATGTAAACTATATATGTACGTAAAGAGGCAGTGAGGTATGTGGTGAAAGTGCTGGACTAGGAATGGGGAGACCCAGGTTCAAGTCCCTCCTCAGCCATGGAAGCTCCTTGGGGCCAGTCCCTTGCTCTCAGCCCAACCTTCCTCACAGGGCTGCTGTAGGGAGAAATAGGAGGAGGGAGTGCCTTGAGCTCCTGAACAAAAAGCAGAGTATACATATAACACAGAAACAAATAAATATAATTTACAATTATATTTGTAAAAAATATAATTTGAAAAAAATTGAAAAAAATATCGAACCAGAGATGGCCACATAGGTAGTTATTGATGGGCATATGTTGAAGTCCATGTTAGTATTGCCCATTCTGCCTCATGCCGTTGCTCTTGCTTCCAACAATCCTGTCTTCTCTGAGTTTTTGCAAGCACAACCAGAGCAAAGAGATGGAAGAGTATCCTTACCTTTTTTTAGAATGTTTTCTCTTGCTGTCTGTGTGACTTGAACCTAGAGAAGGCAAGCAAGTGGGCTATGTGTAGAGAATAAGAAGATGACCTTGATGGAGATATGCAAGATCTGTCGCCAGGGTCAAGATTATCTTCCTTACTCTCTACACCAGTGACTGGGGAATTCTGGGAATTGAAGTTCACACATCTTAAAGTTGCCAAGGTTGAAAAACACTGCTCTACATCATGGTACCTTGAAGAACTCTTTCCCAAACATTCTCTCTCCAAAAAGAAATATCATCCCAGTGGTTTCTGCAGTGAAAAAAGGTGTGGGATAGGGGAGCTAAAATGATCAAGAGGTTGGATAGAGGTGATCCCCATTAGAAAAGCAGTAAATGTTCAGGACTGTTTAGAAGGGCAAGGAAAGAAAGCTATGGGGGAGGGGATGGTGGCCATCCAGAAAATGTTGGCCTAAAGTACCTATCATCCTGTCCACTGACTGACAGGTAGGTGGTATGCCTCGATATGTTACTTTTTAGGAGCTTCAACCTGATTTTTCTTAACTGTTTGTAAATTTGGATTTTGTTTTTGTCTGTGTTTGCTGCTCAGAATTCCTTTGGCAGATGGGAGGCTATATACATTTGATTAATAATCAATTAATAAATAAAGCTGGGTTTCAAGGCTGTCTTGATGGCCACATGTTCCTCGCCCCTGTGACCGAGGGGTGGTAGACATATGACAGAGAGAAAGAGAGACTATGTAACATATCCATTTCAATATCAGTCATTCAGGACAGATATAGAAAAATATGATTGTACTTGTACACCTTAAAAGTTGTTGAGGAGGACTCTTGGGTGGGAGGAGCACCAGCCATGATTCCCCCTTTTCCCTCTCATTTGCCCATTCCATCAACAGGAAGACCACTTTGATCCTCCATTTCAGCACCCAGCCGGCCTCTGAAGCACACCTTGTGAGGTATCCAGAACGTCTGCCTGTGCAGGCAGATGTGACAGCCACCTCTCAAGATGTCTCTAGAAGGATTCTCTCAGAGCAATATGGCTTGGGCAGTTGCCTGGGGTGGCAAACTATTCTAGAAAGCCTTAGGTGCAATAAAGCACTTGCAGCAGGTTGAGAAGATAGAGCTTGGCCCTAACTCTCTGTCTGTCCCTGTCTGCCTCTTGAGAGTACAGGGTAAGGAAGATGACCTTGAAGGTGCTGCTGCCTAGGCAAAAGGGGCATAATTCACTTAACCATAAGAAGGAGGAAGAGGTCTAGCACAATCAGACCTGCAAGATTCTGTTACTATAGCCGATCTAAATAAAGGTAGTTATTTCTGTGGAGTGGATTTCTTGGCCTGATCTGCCTAGTGGGGCTGACACTGCTCTAGTTTGCTTAATAGTTGGGCCAGCCCTGAATGTATCCATGAAACTTTGCATAAGCAGCTCTAAAAGGGGATTAGACAAATTCTTGTCTATTCTATGCACTTATTTATTTATTTAATGCGTGCCCCATTTTATTTTATTGTTTATTTATTTATTCAACTTATATCCTCCATTTTATTTTTTGGATTTGGATATTCAAAGCGGCTAACAACTGATTACAAAAGTATTGAAAATCTAAGACCAGTGTTGACATTATTAATTCATGGAGTCCCTGCATTACCCAAATGGAAATTCCAGATTTGATAGAAACCTAGAGCAGGAAGGGGACACTTGGACCATCAGATCCAACCCCTCTTTAGTGCAGGAATCCAAATTAAAACATTCCAGAGAGATGTTCAATGTCTCCTTATAAAAAACCACAAATCCCTGAATACATGCCCACCATCTCTCTAGATAATTGGTTCCAGTTTCAAACCGCCCTTACTGTTAGGAAGTGTTGTCTTATATTTAACTGGAATCTGTCTTCCTGCAAATTAAATTCATTATTCTGTGAACTGTACTTTGGAACAGTTTAGAGAACAGATCTTGATCTCCTGTGTTACATCCTTTCAAGTATTTGAATTTATTTATTTTATAACTTTTGTGTCCTGCTGCTTGTGGGTTTCTATCCAGAACTGCTTGGCCATTTCTGTTTCATGTCCTTTTGTCTGCAAAGTTGGTCTTAGCTGTCTCGTTCATCAGCTTTCAGATTAGCTCTTCTCAGGGGGGTGAAACTAACTTTGTGAAGCAGTCCTATGCTTTACAGAACCTGTTGCAAAACCTTTGAGGTGCAGCTCCAGATTACCGACAGCAGAGGGAAGCAGAACCTAGCTAATGGAGGAAAGATGACTTTAAAAACCCTGGTGACTACAATTATGTGCCATCAAGATGGTGTCAACTCTTAGCAAGCACATAAATAAATTTTCTCTATGAAGCCCTGTTCCTAACCTGGTCTTTTCGGTCTTCCAACAGGACATCCATTCCCACTGTAACTGAGTCCATCCACTTTGCTGCTGGTTGTCCTGTTCTCCTCTTTCCTTCCACCTTTCGTACCATTGTGGACTTCTCAAGGGAACTAGATCTTTGCATAATGGGTCAGAAGTATGATCATTTGAGCCTGTCATTTGTGCCTTGAATGAGAACTCTGGATTCATTTGTTTGTTTTCTTGGCTGTCCGTGGTATTCTCAGGAGTCTTCTCCAACACCAAAGCTCAAAAACATCAATAGTTTTTCTGTCTTCCTAACCCTGAACCAACCTGTTTTTCAGAGATTTCCTGCAGGAGGCTGGCTTCCTAATTGTGCTGTTTGCTTTCCCCAACCAGGAGCAATCCAGGTGTATTGGGACTAAGCTCCCATCATTCTGAGCCATTAGTGTGAGAAGTTTCTACTGCCAGGGAATTCCAGGGCATCCAGTATGAGAAGACCAGTCTAGAGAAAAGCACTTTTAAACTATCTTGGGTTGAGAAAGTGGACAACTTTTTGATGCCAGCTGTAGCTGGGAGGGTACCACCTCAAGTCAGTTCAAACCACATCACTTCACAGGATTTGACCAAAATTCTGTGGCTTAAATCGTTGCTTCTTTGTGTTGCCAGAAGAATAAAGGGAAAATACTATTTTTAGTAGCTCAAATAGTTTAACTCGTTCTTTGATTGGCTTCAGTACTTTGCAGGATGAATGGGCCTGTCCTATACAGATTTCTTCTTTTTATTTGCACTTGTTGACCTGTTCTACTCTACTTCATAATCCTCAATAACTAAAATGTTGAAACTGGCATCTCCTGATCAGTACTGGTACATTACTCTTTTGTTACTTAGGAGCAGAAGGAATAGGTTGGTTTTGCAGCACCTCCAGTGCCACTAGATGGTGGTCAAGGACCATAATGATGATCATGGTGATGGTGATGACAATAATAATACCACCCACTTTCTCCTGATACGGTCAAATCTTGAAAAGTCTCTGTTCAGACATGAGATCTTATACGAGTTTGGCATTTTTAATTTTTAAATTCAGGGAAGCATGATACTATGTGCTATTTGAAGAAGTTGTTGACTCCTGATTTAAGGATTTCTTAGTAGAGTCCAGGCAGTGTGCCCAAAGGCTAGGAAGAATTGTGACAGTTGTGGTTCCAATACATCTGAAGGGGTACCAAGTTGGAGAAAGCTGACCTTGGGAGTTGTTGTACTGCCTATGGCCTGGCCATCTCAGTATATACATCTCATGGGCTCAGACCTTTGTTTTACTTTGCTCCTAAGACCCTATAAATTCCTCTCTTGGATCCATGAGCTGTGTCCCTGTTTCTTTTCACATACATGTTTAACTATTTTATTTTCTACAGTTGATCTTAACTTATCTCTCTCCAATGCTCTCTTTCCAACACTACTGAAGATTTCAGTCTGGAAAGGGGAGAGAAAGGAAGAATGATACTTTCCCTGAATGTTCATGGTTACTTTTAAAAAGGAGAAATAAATAAGGGAAAACACAAAGGCAGTATTTTGTCTAGTTCATCATCCTTTTTCTGGCCTGTTTGCTATTTAATGTGACTGTCCCCATTTCAGTCATCCTTAGCTTCCTTGCTGAAATGTCAGTAAATAAACCAGAAGGGCCAAGACCACAGGGAGATATTCAGGAGAATAAGAGAGCACAGCAAGACTGGGTGTTCTTTCAGCATTTATTGGCTTCAGCACACACACAGACATATTATTAAAAAAACATTAAAAATTGGAATACCTCCAGCAGTAAGGTTCCTTTTGCTCATTTTTAAAAAACCGGACCTCTTTTACACTTTGATATAATGCTGCAGGAACAAGGGGAACCAGCAGTCTTAATGTGATAGTACAAAGTTGTAAGACAGTTCAGTATTTTAGTAGAACATGAGAGTTGTAGAGTGTATTACTTGGATACTACATTAAAAGAAAAATTTGACACCATCACGTAGGATTGCAGAAGAAACACTGTTTTGAAATCTTTTATTAGTAGACACCAGCAGATCCATAACTGAGTATAGAGAAAAGTTGCAGATGGGTCAAAGGGACTGTTGCCTCTTTGACCAATTTTGGAAATGAATGTTGGATGTTCTTTTTTTTAAGCCAGAATTCAGAAAAAACAGAATGAAGATGGGGTGAACTTGCAGGACAAGAAACGAATGGAAAAGTGGAAAAGAGGCATGCTAGTAATTACTCAAGTATTGTTCAGACTTGTTCTTTGTTTCACCAGAGGGTAGGGCTAGAACCAATTAAAGGCAAATTACAGGGAACAGATTTTGGCTCAATGTTAGGAGAAATTCTTATTCTAATAGTAAGAGATGATCGACAATGCAAATAACTGTCTGGAGAAGTGCACGGCTGCTTCTCCCTGGAGGCCAGACAGCAAACAGTCAGAGATGCTGTGGCTCCATCCTGTACCGTACAGTAAAACTTGCACTGAACAGGAACTGAACTGAATGACCGTCCAACTCTGCCGATGTATAAGTCTGCAAAGGAAATCACCAGATGGCACAAAATAATGGGCATTTCATAATTTAACCAGTACGATGGTTTCTTGCCTCTTTTTCTTGCTCACACAGATGGAGAGCCACAGTTAGCATCTACTGTCATTGACACCATCTTGGCTGGTTTACCAGGACCTCGTGGGGCACCAGGGCCCGTTGGGCTGCCAGGTGAGGCAGATGATTGATGGAAACAGGAAAAGAGCAACAATGGTGTTTAAGACACTCCAAGATAATCGCTTCTCATTGTTGCTTGGCACACCTGATTTTTTTTTTTTTTTTACATCCATCCCTCTGTCTGTCTGTCTGTCTGTGTCCGAGTTGGAAAAATAAATTGGAAGCAAAACAAAGTGGCAGCTTCAAGGATCACCTTGATTGCCAAGAATGCTTCTGGGACTCAATCCAACTGCAGAAGTGTTCTTAGATAATAAAAATACGACAGTTGCAACTTGGGGCTTTGTTTGGAAGTATACCCCCCCAAGGAGACCAAGTTAAGCAGAGAGACTAAAGAGCCATCCTAGTAGAGAAGTGGAGAGGGGGGTAGAAGGGATCTCAAATCTCATTCTGGTAAAGTGGCAAACTAGTTTTCTGCCCAACGGCAACTATGAAGTCTCCCCCATCCCAGAAGCCACATGAGTTCGATATATGTTCTCAAAAATCCACATGTATCCCACCAATCTGGGGCCTCTGTTACAGATGGAGCAGTCCCATTTGTTTAGAGCAGTGTTTCTCAACCTCAGCGTCTTTAAGAGGTGGGGACTCCAACTCCCAGAATCCCCCAGTTTCTATTCCCTTTGATTCTCTAAACCAGTGTTTCTCAACCTCAGCGT